TTGCAGATGAGAGGTTCAATCGACCTCAGAGAGACACAGTAGATTCTGACCTAGAGACCTATACCTCCCTTGGAATGAGAACCGGTGTGCGCAGACTGTCAGTGCAGATTTGGTCCAGCTCACAACCGCTAGGCCTCTTGCGAAACGCGTTGTGGATACCACCAATCCCGGAAAACATTTCAAAGCACCACAAATCCTGAGACAGTGAGAATGTGAATAAGATATATGGTTATGTTTATAAGTTCGTGATTGGAATTCTTCTATTGCAGCTGCGCTCACACAGGTTGCATTCCAAGTGGCACGGGAGTAGGATTTCTGAGATTTGGATGCAGTGTAGTCTAGAAGGTGCACCCTTGGCTGGGACACACACAGGTATTTTTGGGACCCAATGCTGATATCATGTGATCAGCTTGGAAACAGAATGCATGGCGCACCAAGGGCCAACAAAAGCCCTGCTTGAAGATCAGTGAGGCAGTATCCGGCGGCCATGACGGGTGGGGAACAGGATCCTAGCTGCTCTGAGTGTCCACGTGCTTGAGAACCTGATGGAAGGAGCACGGACGGGTGTACATGATGGGATTGCCATATTGATGAGCTTGCTGGGTTCCAAGAAGCAAGCACGCTATTGCACTGCATTCCGAATGTTTTCCACTCCTTTCAAGTCTGCACTTTGCGTTGATTGTGGCAATGTCATAGCCACAGCTGAAATTTAAAGATTGGCACACACCACAGTAGCCGGTCACGCCCCTCCAAAACATGTAAAGAGTTAGGTGTTTCAACAATTGTGGTTGTTGAATGATTGGAACACTTGGACCACAAAGGCTGGGGCAGCATCTCTGAAAGTGTGTCACTGGCGGTTAGCTACCAGGATCCTATGTAAATTGTGAGACCCTACTCCACACCCCTACTAATGGCCGGTTTCACGAACCATTAACTCTGAAGGAAGTCAAACTGCACAATCCACTAGTACTGGCGGCTTTACCCCAAGGCCAGTCCAATTGCAACCTAGTCCACATCGGGGGCATCGTTTCGCACTTGTGGCTGCCCGAAATGCCTGTCTCTTGCCTGATAGAAGGTGGTCATGGCTTCATCTAGGGCACGTCCATCGTCCAAGTCTTTGGCCTTGGTTTGTGCTGCTTGGCTGTGGGTTAGCTGCTGGGGGGGCCGTGTGTGTGTGTGTGTGGGTGTGTCACCACTAAGAAATCAGCTAGCGTGGAAGCCAAACTCACCAGCATGGCCAGCGAAGCCGTGGGGTATCGACTTAGGCTCAAGAATGCAACCTGGCCATTCCCAAGACAAGTTGGTCTAATTTATGTACAAACCAATCTACAATGATTCGTGGTGTCACCACTTGCAACAACAAATGAGCAAGATGCACCGGTTGCTTGTTCTGAGCGGTGCCATCCTCCAGCACCATGGCCTTCCTCTCAACTCCAACATCTCCGCAGGTCCAGTAGATTGTCACCTGCAGTCACAGGCCGGAAGGGAAATGACCTGACTGGGCTTGATTTGTATGCATGGGACCAGCCTTGTAACGGGTCATGTTTGGCAAAGAGTCCTTGATCTTCTGCTTCTCGACGTCATCTGCAGCAAACAGATTTGTTATGTTCCCCCGGAAACGTATACACCATGAGCACAAAAAATATGTCCAACAGGATCAGGAACCTGCCTACGACATGCGGTTGGTGCATTGCTTTGCGCTTCGGCTGTGGCTTTGCCTTGGCCTTTCCTGCACCTTTCCTCTTAGGCTCTGCTTTCGCCTTTGCCTTCCCTGCCCCCTTTCCCTTTCCCTTGCTTGATGAGGAGCTGGCAGCTGCTTGCTGAGTATCACTCTGCTCAAGCTCGCTGACCCCTACTTCTGCCAACCGTTTTCTGCCCTTCCCCTTTCCACGCCCACGGCTCTTGCCCTGATCTGCGTGCGACATGTCTCCTTGCTGGTGGTTTGCTCCTGCTGCAGCCTTGCCTTTGCCCTTGCCCTTGCCTCTGCCACGCCCACGTCCATTGGAGGTGGATGCTTCCTCGCGCGATCTTTTTCGCCTTCAGACACTGCCCTAGTGGATGAAGTAAAAAGACAAAAAGGTCATTTGGTTGATTCACAATTCACACGCCACGCAACATAGCTTATTCGATCTAGTGACACGGCTTGTTGCGCTTCAAATATATCCATGTCTTGCTTGGATTCAATGTCATTCACAGATAATCCACTCAAGACATGGTTCAGATCAGGCGGGTTCGCCAGCATGGGCTCCCTGTCCTTGAGGCAGCTGCTTCGAAACTGGTTTGAACATGTGGTCTAATCTAGGTGAATTAAACAACAAATCCACCAAGATCTCTGAAAAGCGTCAGCGTGACACGGCCGAGGCCTGCGCAGCTTCGGTGCCTCTTCAGGCTCCTGGGACAAGGCGGCAAAAGTATGAAGTCATAACATCAGGGCTTCAAAGTGAGAAGATGATTCTTCCATTCAGCTGTATAGTGTCCTTGGGTGGTTCTTCACTTTCTTCAATCGCTCCAGGGTGGACCTCATGAAAAGGTTGTTGATCTTCCAGCTAGCCATAAACAAAAGAACGGCCCAAGTTGGAATACAAAAGTTGTCTTTGTCAGGTATTTGCGAGCTGGCCTCATTCTCCATTGCATTGGCAGCAGCAGGTGGGGCCTCCAAAGGAAAAGGTCAAGCTATTAACGTGTGAAAAGCTATGGGCTAGGGCTCCTTTTTTGAGTTCAACCATCTAGAGTTATAAACATCAATTTTGCCCCACACCTCCAATGGCACACTATCTCCAACGTTGCCATCACAGCTTCCAGGGGCCTGGAGAGAGTGGTTATGT